TGTGACTCATTGGTGTCTCTGTTAAAAAGACTTATGCAACACTCTGCATTTATCAGCCAGCTACAGCTCACAGTATTCTTTCCATTAAAATGACTTTCACAAAACATCTTGTACAGCAGCTCACACTGTAAGTAGATCAGCCATCTTCAACATCGCAAGCTACAGAGGAGCTCAGCCGTGCTCTGACGCAATCCTAAAACAGTGGGTGACTGGCCGCCAACCAGGATGTACAGAGACCTTCAGATGTTTGATTGAGAGAGAACACAGATATCCAGCTGCTCCCCAGATATCTGTTCAGAAATAACAGGATGAGTTGGAAGAGATCGCGAACATGATGCTGGGAGTTGCTTGAAAATATCAAGAGATAAGACTACACAGGGGTACATTTTGTAGTTCACGACTGATGACCGTTTCATCAGAAACTCCTCTGGCAGGTAGACAGTTCGACTGCATCTTTCAACTGGTTCAAGGTTCGGGCCATGTGATAGCGGCAATACACCAACACTACACACCACAGGACTGAGAACTATTTCCACACAATGACATCTGTAAATGTCTGTATAACATGTAACAATATCTCCAAGGTGCAATAGTATTTCATAAAATGTACAATATGCCACTTCTTTTTTGGAGCTTTCCATTATTATTGTTTATCTCTAAGCAGGTGTGTGTAGGTGTGTGTGAATTTGAGAAATATTTAATGAAACCGTTTTTAGGAGCTGCAGCCATATTCTGCTGTACAATGACAATGCTTTTTTATTCTGGGTTCTGACCACGAAGGAGGTAAGATAATAGAGCAGACAAATTACTGCTGGACGTTGTCTTATCTCGAGCCTGAAGGGCAGATCTCCAAAAATGCCAGAATGAAAGTGAATTTATATATATGGAGTAAAAACATTCCTTGTTCCCTTAGTTTTGTCCCCTTCCTGTTCCTGTACAGGTATAAAATGCTTGTTTCTAGCATGAAGTCTATCCCATAATTCACCACAATAAGAGGTTGCAGTTGCAATTGCTCCAAATTACTTACCACAGAGACAATGAGTATGGTTCCTCACTAAATTAACCATCTCAAAAAGTCTATTTCCAATTATTCTAATGTGTCATTTAATAACTCTTCACTGTCATTTTAAAGCACTTCGTGTTGACTCCTTCAGAGGTCTCTGCCTTCATTTGTTAAATATAAGGAAAATGTGACATAATAACATCCTGTTTTCATTACTGGGAGGCTTTATAGGGTTGCTTTGCCCTGCTAAAGCAGAAGATTTATACCAACACGACACATTTGAGTTCTCAGAACTCTGTTCTCAACCAACAGTGTCGTGCTGTGCATCTTTGGCTTAAGCCCTGCCAGAAACACACATTTTTATTTTTAATACTAGTGTGGTGCTACAGATTTGCTCAGTTAGAGGTCATCTACTAACATCGGACTAGAAAAGCTCTGGTTGGTTGAAGCCATCAGTTTTAGCTTTACCTACTGTAGAGCAAACAAGTCACCAAAGAAGCATGGACATGACAGACTGGAGGGAGCCTATAGCCAAACAAAAGAAGGCCTTTCAAGTCGAATGGATACCATGACGATAATCTGATTTGTGGAATATTTCAATATCAGTGTTGTATATTTTGTCTTTTGTGTCTCAAGCCCTCCATAGCTACGAAATTCTCTTAAGCATTTTCAAGAAGTAATTGGAAATTTCATCATCAAAGCACATATTTCAAAGAGTATCACACAGTTTGACATCAAAAAATTGTTTCCTTGTTCACTTTATCTAATGATGATTACTGAGGACGGACTCAGAGTAAAGAAATTAAAAGTGCAGCGAAGGGAGACAGTAGACTTCTGCACAATGCAGCTCCACATTTGAATGAAACTGCAGGCTAACTTCATTCACACTGACATACACAGTAAAGTACATTACACTTACAATCCCAAGTCAATAAACCAGTAGTGTTTCTGCTTCTTCAGGGGAGCTCAACCGCAATATTACCACTCACAAAAGAGACAAAAACTACATGTAATTGCACCAAATTCTACCTCCCAACCAAACCAAAACGATTGTCTTAATGGTTGCAGTTATCTGTTTGCCTTGATAATGTAGACAACAAACACTGCTTTCAGCAATGCAATCTGCATACAAACACTCACATAAAGCTGAAAGTGATGACATGAGGAAACAAAACTAAAATCATCACCACATCACAGAAAGAGCTGCGCTTCAGGCTCACAACAAGCAGCTGACTCCATTGTGATTTTGTCAATGCATGGAGAAAATCAACGCAGATTTCAGATATTTTTTCAATTAATCAAATTGATAAAATAGGCTATAAAATGTCAAATTAATTATAAACAATGTTTATCACAAGGCAGTTCAATGTGATGGCTTCAAATTAGGGTTAGGGTTTTGTCTGGCCAACAATTAGTTTAATTTAAAGTGACAAAAGCAGGCAACTAGTCTCTTTTTCAGATGCAGAGGGATTTTTCTCTTACGGATAAGTTGACCTTAAAATGAGTTACCAATAATCACATAGTAATTTGATCCACAATTTCTCTCAATTGAAACATTAATTAACCCACTAACCAATTCAGCATCACATGTGTAGCTCATCACTGATCAAGTATAAAAAGTTTCCTGTCTAGTTGATCATGCTACCCCATATACACCGTATACTATACAAGTATACTCATACAGAATTATTAAATTGCGAAGAAAGCTGAAAAGTGTAACTCGAGCATCCTATATGTAAAAACAGATTGAAAAAAACAAACACACAGAAACGGCAATAAATATTTAAAATCTAACACATCTTCAACACGCGAGCATAAATGCACTGAAAACTCAGAGTAAAATGTCTGTCCTGTAAAATGAACAAATGGTCCCGTGGTCGGGACTCTGCCTGGCTGCCTGCCTCAGTGTGCTGCAGTGTAATTCAGTCTAAAGCTGAATGCAGCTACAGTGAAAGGCTCCCCACAACTTAGTTGTGATGTTTAAGGTAATTGACAGATGCTGTTAAGCCAAATGGTCCATTATGAATTCACTGGGCTTCTCACAGGTTTTGTGTTTCTGCTGATACAAAACTGGCACTGGTTCTTCGCAGGGCTGCTGAACCTGTCAAACGTGAAAGTTAAACCCATTATGACAGTGACAGCGAGATGGCAGAAGTGTTTGTTTTTGTTCCCTCGTGAGGACGAGCAGAGAACTAATGAGTTGAAACTGTGAACACATTAAAAAGAGGCAGAAATACTGTTATGGAAACCATTAGATATTAAATTCCTCTGCCCAATACACGCAGACTGAAAATCAATCACATCTTTTCAATCACATCTGTTCAGTGGGAGTGAGAAAACTAGGATGATGATTGCCAGCATCTCACAATTAGTGACCACACAACAAGTTAAAGGCATGAACCACATGGTTTTACCTGGTTCCTCAACATATTACAAATTTGAAGCACTGACTTCAATTCCACTATACTTGTACAGTTTAACAGGACTAACTGCCCTACACACCCTTGGTCTAGTCGCAGATGTGTTTTGATTTACATTAACTAAACTGATTAGACCTCATTGAAAGGGATGGTCGCATTATAGTGCCGTACTAGGAATATTTGCTCTGTTTTCCCATTCACTTTTTGGAAGGACGGATTCAAGCGTATGATTAATGCTTTGGTGCGAACTCCAGCCGGATTCCGAGTTCACCTTCATTTAATTTTGATGTGCTGATGTGCTTGATCAGCCAATAGAAAATACTTCAGCACCGTGTCTGGAGATACCTTAAACATAAAGGAGGAAACTGGTTATGAAATGGTGTCAAATTAATTCTGATGTCTCTACATGACATACATAAACCAACAAGGCCAACAGCAAGAAGACTGGCTATTTCAATGTAGTTATTCTTAATGCCTGCCGCTGGGTTGGATTCGATCGGATTCCCCTTGAAATCAATGAAACGAGGTGGTGGAAACACTAACGCTTTTGTCCACAGGGGGTGCTTGATTGACATCGGTCTGACTATCTTATAAGTACTATTGCACTTGGTAGGCTCTCCTTATAATATATCAGGGTGGATTTGGTCATTATGGGCAATTTTGCCAAACGGTGAGATGAATATTCTATCAATGTGATAACATACATATATATTTTTGCAGGTATTTCCTTATCTGCATTAGCCAAAAACATTCACTCTCATTTCTGTATTAATCTCCTGTATATATCATCAGTGATAGATCACTGTCAACTAAATCTGATCAAACCACACCCACACGGTCCTGATGAAGGAGTGTTAAAGTATTAAACTTCTGGATGTTATATTTCTCAACTTAAACTTTGTTATTGTGTCTTCATTACTGTTAATTTAAAGTTATGGAGAAACACATTTAAGCCAGGTTTTAAGGGCCTTTAAGAAGAAGTTCTTAAATTGCATAGTAGTGTGATTTTAATTAACCTCTTAACCTGGACTGAAACTAACTTGCCACTTGTCACTTAATAAACACACATAATAATCATCATGTATGACATAAAGCAATGTAAAATGTAGTTGATGCAATCTGTACTGTATCCATCACATTCTTCTGGATAATCCCCTGTAATAACTGCCACAAATTGTTACGTCACATTAAAATGCGCTCATCTTCAACTTGCAGGGTGGGAAAATGGACTGGATCATTTACAGTAAAACATGGGACTTGTTGGATGCAAGTGGAAACACTCACTGGCAATCAGGGGAGTTTGTAACTCGCTGTGTTTGGGCTGGCACCATCTCAAGAGCGTAGCAGAACACAGTCCAATCATCACTGCTACTTTAAAGCCTCGAGTGGTGGAGCTTCTGAGTTGGATTTAATTCAATAATGGCTGTACGTAATGAATGTTGTTTATGCTTGAATGAGCATTGATTTGACCATATAATCATCAACCCACTGCGTAACAAAACAACATATGAGACGGGTTTAAAATCCAGTTGTCTGGCCTTACTTCAGTGGAGTGCAAGTGGATATTATAAATATACCTCATTGAAGGAGATCTTGGTGTTTTTCATCCTCTGAGGCCGGCTCTTCCATGTTTTCCCAAAGAAGTGCTGGTGCTTCCTATCAAACAGGGTCACTCGCAGCTGGTAGGTCACATTTTGGTCCTCCTCTGATGTTTCCTGCCAGTGGAAACAGAAAAGACACCCACATGAGAGTTAATGCTCACCCTAAAAAAATAGATGTATGAGAAAGTAAAAAAAAAAACCTTCAAATCTTCCAATTTAACATTTCCCAACATCTCAGCAAACCTCCCCAAAAAACCTTTGTGCAAGATCCAAAGCTTAAATTCTGCATAGATGTAGCATCTTTATTATCTCAGAGGTTTTAATAACAACCACTGCTTGCTGCCTCGGTGTGTGTGAGACCGTTATGGCTGGAAAGATTAACTGCACTAGTGTTTGGTGGATTATCTCTAAACCGAATTTACAAGAGGACCAATAGCATGCGTACACTGGTATTCTGTACTGGTCACCGTACTGGCCGACTGACAAAATGCAATGTCACATTTAATTAGAAAACTTTTTGGAGGGAGTTTCGCGAGTTCTCTTCAGACACACGGTGGCGTTTCATTAAGTAAAGTTATAGGGCCGTTATCATATCTTCGCTAATGACAGCCCAAAGACACTAGACTAGACTCCACAAATTAGCACAACATAAAGTTACACAGAATTTATGTGCGTTTGACCACCACTGCAGAACTGTGTCTACATCTCTACCGAGCATTTAGCGTTAGCTGTGAGCAGTCACCTGCGGGAGGTGCGGTGTAGTGAGCCGGCTGAGGCTGAGCTGGAAGCCCTGGGACTGGGTGAAGTGGCTTTCCACAGCCAGGCGAGCAGTCTGGCTGGGCGGGGGTACCAACCGGCTTCTCTCAAACACTGCTCTCCAGCCGCCCGCCATGGCGGATATGTCTTCTGTTTTGACCATATCCTTTAGTTAAAAGAGAAAGGAGAATGCCATTGTAACACATTTATAAATATAGCGTACAACCGAGTGTTTAGTGTGAGTATGATCTTTTCACCCGTTTAGATTTTCAAACCCGCGGCAGCCATATTGAAATCGGATTCTACTACTAAGCGCAGAGGGGGTTATACCCGCACATCAAGGATTCCCTCAGGAGTATTCCTCGAGTAATAAGAGTAATACAGATAGTAGGAATTTAACGTACGAAGAAGGTGCTCATGCAACGACACGTTTTACCCCGAAAATAAATATCCAAACAGAAATCCGCAATTGTCTCGCAACCTCTTAACCTTTCATTTGGTATTTCCCATCGCGCTGCATCAGTTACTATGGTAATGTTCACGTTGCCATGCAGGTCTACAGTGCAGTGTACACTCTTCCATAAAATGATTTAAAAAAGACGAAATTGTAAGGCCATCTTATATTTATTATCTAATAATTATTAAGTGCCATATGTAAATTATAATAAATATAACATTATTTACTGATTATAATAAAGATGTTATGTTATCCTATTATGTCCTGGAAGCACTGTGAGGATCACATTCTTCGAC